CCCCAAAGCCCTCCAGGATACCGTTCCTTCCGGTCCGAGGGACCCCAAATATCCCCACCTAAGAAACCCCAGTTCCTTCGCCCCGAGATAACTCATTTGCCTTAGCGCAAGAGACCCCAAGTATCCCCACCAGAGAAAACCCAGTTGTCAGCCCAGGCACCCCGCGCCACCTCTCCACCACCAGAAAACCTAGTTCTCGCAGTTCTAGGGTTCCTAAAGATTCTCCACCCAAAAAATTCTCAGTTCCCTGAGCCCAGGGGATCCCTGTTGTCCCGCAAGCAGGAAACCCCAGCGTTGCCCTTCTGAGAAGCCCCTCTTCCCTCAGCAGGGAGGGAGCTGTTTCCTACCTGAGAAGCCCCAATCCTATCAGCTCGGGATCCCCAATATCGTCCCCCCTGGAACTGCAGTACTCAGCCTGCAGAACCCCAGAATACCCTCCACCCCAAAACACCAATTCCGTCTGCCCAAAGCCTTCAGACACCTCCAACCTGAGAAACCCCGATTCGTCAGCCAAAATGACCCCATCCAAGGGACCCCAACCACCTCCCTTCTGAGAAACCCTAATTGCCTCAGCCCCATATATCGCCAAAACACCCCCCAAGAGAATCCCCAATTATCTCAGCGCCAGGGACCACTACAACCTTCCCCCAAGAAACCCTAGGCGGGGGGGTTGGTTTGCTTTGGTTTGATTCTTTTGAGGCAAGGTCTCCCTTTGTAGTTGGGGCTGGACCTAAACTCAGTATATAACCCAGGCTGGCCTCCACCTAGCGGTGATCCTCCTGCTTCAGCCTCCGAGTGCTGAGATTACAGGCGTGCACCACCATGCCTGGCTCAGAAACCCTAGTCTCTTCAGCCTCAGCCTGAGTGTCCCGCGATCCTCTTGACCCCCCATCTCACCCTGCCCCCCGAGACCCACACACTGCACCCCAACTCAGAGTTCTCAGGTGGATACCCCAGCTCCTGGAACCCTATAGGACTGTGGATTACCTCTGCTGTTCAGTTCGATTTAGAACTAGTTAGGTTGGGGCTAAGGCTGGGGCGAAGGCTAGGGCTAGGTTTGGGGTTAGGCCTAGAAACAAGGTTTGGGGTTTTTTTAGGGTGCTCCACACCTTCACAGCACGCCTGCGCACACACACGCACACACACACACACACACACACACACACACTGCCCCCATGCACTGCATGAGAAAGGAAGAACTCCAGGGTTGCCGTCCCAGAGCCTCCGGTCCTGTTTCCCAGGTCCCCTGCTCTGGGGCCAGCAGAGAGCCCAGTCCCCAGCTCCTGTCCTTCCACAGGCGCCCGGGCTCCCCTGACTGCTGTCCCGGCGTCATGAGCGCCCAGAGTTCCCCGGAACACAGACCGGAGGAGGAGAAGGAGGAGGACTCCGCGGGAGCAGGGCCGCCGCCCAAGGTAGACGCTGCGGACGCAAGGCCGGGCCCTGGGCTCTGCGAGGGAGGTGGGGACCAGACCCCGGGATGGGGGCGCTGCTCAGCTCTCACAGGGACGACGGGGGAGGACAGTGGGCCTCACGGAGCCCCCAGCCAGGCTGGGCGCCGCAGGAGCAGGGTGGAGAGGAGAAAACTGTCCTGGGAGCTGGGCTAGCAGGTCCCACGGCACCTCTTTCTCCAGGTCAAAGATGCTTTCAAGGACATTTCCAGATACTTCTCCAAGGAAGAATGGGCCAAGATGGGAGAGTTCGAGAAGAAACGCTACAGGAATGTGAAAAACAACTACAGTACGATGCTTTCTATAGGTAACGAGAAATCCTGGGGCAGAAGCAGCCCTCCAGTGCCCCCGCGCGTCCCCAAGGCTGTCTTAGGAGCAGCGCGCAGCTCCCTTCGCGTGGCGTCAAGGCTGGAGGACAGCATTGTTCCTCTGCCCAGTGCAGAGCTGAGCGCTCCCCACCGCTCGGAGAGGCCATCTCCACGTCCCCGGCCCACCCGGCCTTTGTGTCAGGTGCATCGCCCCTGCCTTTGGTCTCTCCCGCTCCCAGCACCTCCCCTTGAGGAGGAAGATTCCCTTCCTTCCCAGGTCTCAAAGCCCGCCGGCCAGCTTTCATGTGTCGCCGAAGGCGAACCAGCACCACCAACCCCCCCGTGGGTGACTCTGACGATTCCGATGAAGAGTGGACACCTCGGCAGCCAGGTGAGGCCGGGCGGACATACAGGTCACCTCCGGAGGGGAGGCCAGAGTGGGGTCTCAGAAGGAAACTAGGGATCCAAGCTTCCTAGAAAACGTGTGTTGGCAAACAAGCAGTATGCAAAACCATGCGCACAGTAAGCGGCTATCTGGATAGTTTTTAAATGTGTGAAAAACTATACATGTGTGTGGTGTGCATAGGTATATGATCATAGATACAACAGTAAATGGAAACACAGAATCTAAGACATATCAGCTCCAGAGCAGTTAACATCACAAGAGGAAGAGGGAGGGCTGGCAAGTGACTTTTCAGGAGCTTAGTTTTTGTTTTATTTTGTGTCCATTCTTGTTTTGGGATTTTGAAAGAGAAATAAAAAGATTGGAAGCAGTTGTGGTGGAATTGCTAAGATCACACGGAATTAGGAAGGACGTGCAGGGTGTCCAGGGCCATTGTCATACTATTTCTGTTTTTAATTTATCGTTTTGTTTTATTTTATTATATATATACATACACACACGTATACATATATGGGTTTTTTTTTGTTGTTTTTTTTTTTACGGGGGATCGAACTCAGGTCCTTGTGCTTCTGAGGCAGGCAGCAGAACCACTGAGCTAAATCCCCGGCCTTATTCTTGTTTTATTTTTTGGTACCCGGGGTCAAACTCAGGACCTTGCACTTGTGAGGCAGGCGGCAGCACCACTGAGCTAAATCCCCAGCCCACTTTATCATTTTAAAGAGAACATTTTCACTAAACATTATTAATCTCAAGGGAATTAAAGAGACCTTAATTGAGTGACAAGTCGGTCCCCAAATCTCTAACACTGATGTTTGCCGCGGGACTAAATGTCTTGGGAGAAGCAATGTGCATGTTACATGAAGATACTTAGTCGTTGCTGCTGTTACTGAGCCCTGGCGTTTCTTTATAAATTCCAGATATGAGCCCCTTGTCTCTTACGTGGTTTCCAAATATTTTCTCCCATTCTGTGGGTCGCATTTTCGTTCTCTTGACTGTTTTCCTTTACTGTACAGTTTTCAGAGTGATGTGGTCCCATCGTCTGCTTTTGCCTCTATTTCTTGATGCTTTTGGTGTCATACCCACGAAAACACCACTCACGCCAATGTCGTCAGGCGTTCCCTATTTTTTTCTTCTAACAATGTTATAGCTTCAGGTTCTACGCTTCCGTCTTTAATCCATTTTGAATTTTTGTTTTGTTCCCCCCTGACATTCTTGGTTCTGAGAACCCCCAGGAAGAATATGAAAGCAGGAGGGTACCGAAGTCCCCTATGAAGTAGTGCAGTGCTGGCGTATGAGCTCCCATACACCTGGATCGTCACTAGATTACTTATCATACCTAATTCGATACTTGTGCTTGTTACACGGTATCCTCTAGGGAATAATGACAAGAAAAATATCTGTATCTTTTCAGTACAGGGGCATCTGTCAAACATTTTTGATCTGGACCGGGGATTTGGCTCAGTGGTTCTGCTGCCTGCCTTGCAAGTGCCGGGTCCTGAGTTTGATCCCCTGTACCAAAAACAAAAACAAAAATACAGCGGGGCTTGTGGCGCAAGCCTGTCATTCCAGCACTTGGGAGGCTGAGGCAGGAGGATCACTGTGAGTTTGACACCAGCCTGGGATATATGGCGAGTTCCAGGGCAGTCTGGACTACACGGTGAGACCCTGCCTCACTTGTGTTAAATCCATGAATGTGGCATCCGCACATGTAGAGGTCCAACTATGTCTACAGTAAAATAAGGGTGGATCTCCAGGTTTTTCCTTATAATGTTAGGTGTCCAGTTCTCCCAACCCTGTTTTCTGAAGAAACTGTCCTTTCCCCATGGTGTGGTCTCGGTGCCCTTGACCATACGTATGAAGACTGGTTTTACCTGCCTCTTCTGTTATGTTGGGCGTCTGTCTCTATGCCAGCGTCACACTGCTTTGATTGCTGCAGCTTTGTAATCAGAAGTGTGAGGCACTCAACTCGGTTCCTCTTTTAAAACAGCAACTGTTGTAGCCATTCTGGATCCTCTACGGTTCCAAACAGATTTTTGGACTTTTAAAAATTTCAGAAAAAATGGCATTGGTGGTTAGATAGGGATGACAGTGGGTCTCTGGATCATTTTGGGGTACTATGAACAGTTCACAGGTATTTTTCCATTTGTTTCTGTCTTCTCTAGTCTCTTTTAGCATTCATAGTTTTGGCATTCAAGTCTTTTGCCTCCTTGATTAAATTTATTCCTAAAGATTTCACTCTTTCTTTTTCCCCCCGTATCGGGACTCGAACTAGGGACCCTGTGCTTGGGAGGCAAGCAGCGGCACCACTGAGCTAAACCTCGGCCCCTAGATTTCACTCTTTATTATGTAGCTGTAGATGAGATTCTATTTTCAAGCTTCCTTCTTCTTTGTTTTTACTGCATAGAAACACTTGGTTTTTGAGTGCCGATTTTGTATCTTACAGTGTGGCTGAAATCATTTGTTAGTTCTGAATTCTGGTGGAGTCTGTACAGTTTTCTGTGTGTAAGATTATGTCGTCTGTGAATGCATGAACGCAGGTAATTGACTTCCTCCCTTCTGATTTGGGTGAATTGATTTCCCTTTCTTGCCTAGTTGATGGCTAGGACTCCTGGGACTGTGTTGCATGGAAACAGAGAGAGAGAGGGGCTGCGTGCCCCTTCCTGAGCTTGGCCTTCTCAGCTGGGTATAAGCCTAGATGTGAGCTTGTCCCACACGACCTCTGGGTGGAGACGTGACCTCCTTCTGTTCATAGTTTGTTCGGGGTAATTGTCATAAATGTCCAATTGATACAATTTACAATTCTTCAAAATAAATGTCGCCAATGTCTTGTAAGCATAGGTGGAGTGGAAAGGCGTTGAAAGAAAGTTAGTGATGGTAACTGCACGGAGGAAAAGGCCCTAGGGATTCCTCAGAAAGTCCTCCATGACCCATGGACCATCCTGGGGGTCTTCACTATGTAGTTTTGAGTTCTGTGTCAGTAATAAGAATCTCCAGAGTTTGGAAACATTTACCAACCCAAACCCTGATTTCTCATCACCTTTTAGTCAAACCTCCTTGGGTGGCCTTGCGAGTGGAGCAGAGTAAACACCGGAAGGTGAGTATCTCCCGAATCCTACCGGCCAGAAACTTCCTCGTGGGCCGAAACAGAGGTAAGACAAGGAGAAGGTACAGAGCACCTAGGGCCAGCGGCCTCCTTTGCTGACTGCTTCAGCACAGTGTCTGTGCTCACCGGTTAGGTTTTTGGTTTTTCTTGCTATGTGATTCAGGCTGGCCTTGAACTCACTGTACTGTGTAGCCCAGGCTGGTGTCACCCTCCTGCCTCAGCCTCCCAAGTACTGGAATGACAGGCGTGCACCATTGCACTCAGCTGTCATCGTCATTTTTAGAAAGACCAAGAACAGAAACAGTGATCGCTTCTACTTGTTTTGTTTTCATATTTCAGATGTTGTTGGGTCTTTTTGTTTGTTTTTTTGGTACCGGGGATCGAACTCGGGTCCTTGCACTTGCGAGGCAGGCGGCGGCACCACTGAGCTAAATCCCTGGCCCTCAGATGTTTTAAATGAATAAGCCCAGTTGAACCTCACAACACTATAAGGTAGGTATTAAACCATAAGCACATCACAGAGGAGGAAACTAAGGTACAGAAATATTCGTCTTTTTGTTTGTTTTTTTGGTACCGGGGATCGAACTCGGGTCCTTGCACTTGCGAGGCAGGCGGCGGCACCACTGAGCTAAATCCCTGGCCCTCAGATGTTTTAAATGAATAAGCCCAGTTGAACCTCACAACACTATAAGGTAGGTATTAAACCATAAGCACATCACAGAGGAGGAAACTAAGGTACAGAAATATTCTGTGTTGTGCACGTTATGTGCCGAGCTCACAGTCAGTGATGGCCTAAGTTAAAATGCCCTCTCTGAAGCAGTCGCAAGCTCGCTACATTTCTGCGTGTTGTGGAGTTGGTGCTGTACACCGCTGGCCTGGCTATCCTGCCTCGGTTCTGCTATGCATGCCAGTGAGAGCCAAGCTGAGCCCCGAGGAAAGCCCACAGGTTCACAGGCTGCTGGACCGTGGGTGGGTCAGACGCAGTCAGGGACGGAGCCCCCAGCTCCACACAGGTGCTCATTCTGTAGGTGGAGGCAGCTCCAGCCCCGGGGCTTCAGATTTGATGCTCCAGAAACGACGAGAAGGTGACAGGAGTTCAGAGAGGTCACACACTAGTCTGGAGAAAGGCATCTTTCTAGAGCAGATTGCAGGGGCTCCTTCTGTGGGAGGAAGGACCAGCTCCTACCTCTGGCAACCCTTACATCGTCTGGAATCACTGGTTCAGCCGCTGCCTCGACTCGTGATCTCTTGGGGACCCTGGTCCACCCCTGATTCTGCTCCAAACCCTACGTTCCTGGAGGCCTCTCGGTGTGTTCAAAATAAGCAGCTGCCGATTCACAAAGTGGCAGGGTCAGGGAGGGCTCAGGATAAAGTCTGTGGGTTAGATGTTTATGGTAGAGACGCTCGAGGAGGTGACTGCCATCGGCCGTGAGCGAAGCCTGAGACCAGATTCAGCAGCTCACGGGCACCTCGGCGAGCACGTTTACCTCTCATGTTCACAGTCACATTAAGAATCACCACATACGCCACTGTGTGGACCAGGAGATCGAGGAGACTTACTGACCTGCTAGCAAGATTGGTTCAGGACTCAGTCGAACTCTAAAGCAATATTCTTTCCAGGACACGGCGTCCTGCAACTGTTAGCGACCCTTTCTCGGCTGTCCGGCACATTTCCGCCAACCCTTCCTCGGGCTCTTCCCAGCCTCGTGGGCCTCCCACCTCATTCCCAGGTGTCCAGTCCAGTGTGCTTCTCACCGATTCCATCCCATGGCCCCAGGAGCTGTACCCCTCACCCACAGAACTCGACTGGCTCACGGGTCTTCCTAAGTATCCGCCATCCCTCAGTCTCGCTTGTGCGCAGCTGGGAGGAAGCTGGAGGGAGCCAGCCCCACACGCGGTTCTGGTCATGGATTCGCAACCCACTGGGGTTCTTCCATGTCCCAGAAGTACTCAGACACCCCAGGAAAGCGCAAGCGTTTCGAAATATCAACTCGAGTCGTGCACGTGAAATCGCGTCACACACCCTAAGGAATAAACACAGCATGATGTTTACATGTGCATCTCTCATTCAAGGGGCTGCCCCGGGCGCTGCTGAATAGTGAACCTCGTCCGAAGGGACCGCCAGGGACAGCAAGTTTACAGGACACAGGCGGCCCGGACAGGACCCAGACACCAGCATCCTGTCCCGGAGAAGCGAGAGACTCCGGACAGCACTCTCGACGAAAACTGGGTAAGGAGAAGCGCATCTGTGCTTTAGTCCGTCCGGGCCCTCTACGAAGGGGGTTCAGCTCGGTGGGGTGGACTCTGGGTGGCCCGGATAGGACGCACTCAGCTGTGGGGCTGGCAGAGAATTCTGACTCTCGAGACACGCGCTTCGGTTGTGCCCAAGACAGGGGCCTGATGCCCGGGTCATAAATCCTCTGGGTTTAGGGTGCTAATCAGCGAATGAGCGTCAGACGACATAGCTCCTCTGTCACCTGCAAGCCTTAAGCGGAACAGGAAGCACTGCTATAGGCGGGACGCCCCACCCGCCCTGTCATCCTGGGCACCGAGGCCCTGTGCGGCTCGAGGCCTGCACAGCTAGAAGCGGGACCACGGGCTGAGCAGGGAGGTTAGAGGGCCCGCGGGTTCTGAACAAACGGGGACCAGGGCCGGGGATGCAGCTCAGTGGTGCTGCCACCTGCCTCCCAAGCACAAGGACCCGGGTTCGATCCCTGGTACCAAAAAATAAATAAATAAATAAGAAAAAGACAGGGACGAAGTAAAACTCTGCAGCTGGCCGGCTTCACTGCGCTCTGTTCTCCGCCCAGAAGCCAGGGGGAAGAGGGTCGCACCGAAGATGTACAGCCTGCGGGAGAGAAAGTGTCACACGTACCAAGAGGTCAGCGAGCCCCAGGACGACGACTACCTGTGTGAGTGGCCCCGACTCTGGTCGCTTGGAGTCCGGAACTGAGGGAGGAGACGGACTGTGGGGCCCAGGCTGCAGCCCTCACAGCGATGCCGTTCCCACCCTCAGACTGTGAGAAGTGCAAGAACTACTTCCTGGAGAGCTGCCCCGCGCACGGGCCCCCTGCATTTGTAAAGGACAGCGCCGTGGGCCAGGGGCCTTGCGAGCGCGCCCTGCTCAGCCTGCCGCCCGGCCTGCGCATAGGC